CCAAGGGAGGAAACACATCAACCTCCACTTCAGGATGCCTTCATCCTGTAGCCTCTCTTCCTCATCCTGATAAGGATCAGGGAGCTCCACATAAAGCTTAGTTCACATCCCAAGTTTTCCTGAAAAGAACCAAATCATCGAACTTCTTTTGCCCTAGTGTTCTCAAAGGCAGATTCTAAATGGCTTCAACTAGGCTTAAGGCTTTCCAGGATTTGGCTGCGACTTTAGAGGCAAAGAAAATTCATCTCCTGGTCTTCAATCAGGTCACACCTGTTACTGTAGTGATTTTAATTCAAACACTAGAAGATGCTACATAGAAGCCACAGTATGAATGATAGCACAGGTCATGACACCATCAATAGGATTCCTGCTCACTCCAGTTAGGAATAATCCCATCTGAACCATATTTATAGCTAGAAGTCTAAATAAACTTTACATACAGGAAATCTTCACCAGTCTGCCAACTCCAGTTCCCTCACCCAGCACTTAATGTGTAAGTTGCATGTAATATTATCATCTTTCTTATCAATATTTTACTCACTCCTTGGAACCTGTGTTAAGATACCCATTATCGTTCCTTGTGCTCTCTAAATACTAAACACAACTCAATGTTGACAACTGGCATGGCAAATAATATTAAACACATTTTTCTTAGTCTTCTTAGTAGTTGTTCCTGTCATTGCCTTGAATTCACAATCCCTGAAACAACTTATCCTTGATTTGGTTGTATTATTAAAGTGAAGAATACATTAGATTTCAGATCAAGTAAGAAAAACCCAGTCATGCTTATTTACAAGAATATAGAAAGGAAGCGATCAGCAATACAGGCAGACACTCACAGAATACCACAACTGGACAGAATGTAAAAATCAAGAGATCATGGGGATCTGAACCCCAACAGATACCTCTATATCCTACATTAATGGCTCCAGAAATATTGTGGAAGAGGGGACAGAAAGACAGTGAGAGCCAGAATACCAGGAAGTGTACTGTGAAACATTCTCTCCCAGAAATGACTGCATAAACAAGACCAGAACAATGAATATGTTGATATGAATGTGGGAAATTTGAGAGTCCCATCCCTAGACAAAGAATTAGGCTCTATTAGGGATTAGCTCCCTAACTGATCATCCAACACAAAGTGGTCAGCCCTTCTCATGGCTATTTCTTGTTGTCAATTTGACTACTTGTGGAATTAACTAAAACCCAAGAGGTAAGTGTAGCAACCACCCTGAATGTAGAAGAACAAAACTAAATGAATATTGGCTCACGAGAGAGAGAGAGAGAGAGAGAGAGAGAGAGAGAGAGAGAGAGAGAGAGAGAGAGAGAGCGAGCGAGCTACCAGGCTGGATGTATCAGCTAGTCTTCAGTATACTTTGAAATCTGTAGCATGAATTTTAAAAGTTCTTATTAATAAAATCAAACCTGAGCCAGGTATTGGGGTGAACATTGGAAGATCAGAGAGACAGAATAGGCCACAGCCACCTCACCTCGCCAGTTCCTCAGCTAATCCTGTTTCCTCAGACTGGAAGACTCTGAGTCCTCATCCAGAATGAATCTCAGCTGAACTGCTGCTCCAAAGCCTGAAACCTTAACAAGCTAAAAGCTTCTAGTTTCTGGTCTTCACGCCTTATATATCTTTCTGTTTTTGCCATCACTCCCTGGGATTAAAGGCTCCCTTCTTGGGATTAAAGGTGTGTGTCACCATGCCTGGCTGTTTCCAATGTGGCCTTGAATTCACAGAGATCCAGAGGGATTTCTACCTCTGGAATGCTAGGATTAAAGGTGTGAGTGCCACCATTTTCTAGCCTTTGTATCTAGTGGCCGTTCTGTCTCTGACCCCAGATAAGTTTATTAGGGTGCACAATATTTTAGGGAACACAGTACCACCACAGAAATTCTCCCCCAAAATAGGCTCTTATATGAGTGAAGGGATGAACTTTTCAGTGAGAGTGAGAGCAAAAGAACAAAGAGCAAAGATGTGAGAGTTTCCGTCTTCCATGTCCTTTTACATAGGCTGCCTTCAGCTAAGATTTAAGGTGGATTCCCACACCTCAAACATCTGAGTTTAGGTGGGGCTTCCCACCTAAACTTCAAATGATTCAATCAAGAAATTTCCCTACAAGAAAAATCAGAGACACTTGGGTTTTAGTTAATCAAGTAGTTTTTTTTATTCAGACATGGTTTCTCTGTGGATTGTTGGAGCACAGCTTTGAATTCATTTTGTAGACCAGGCTAGCCTCTAGCTCACAGAGATCTGCCTGCCTCTGCCTCCAGAATGCTAGGATTGAAGGTATGTGCCACCACTGCCTGGCTTCCCCAAGTATTTATTAAAAAAAGAAAAAAAAAAGAACAGACAGTTGAGTGGGTAGACAAAGGGATGAATCTCAAAGAAATTGCAGTTGAGGTGAATATGATAAAAATGAGTTGAACAAAATTCTAAAAAATTTTTGAGAATTCTTTAATGTTGATATTTGCTAAAATCACAGATTGATATCATTAACTGTAAAATTACAAAAATAAAAGCAAAAATATTAGCACACCACAAAATATTTAGAAACATGAAATATTAGGGCAAAATTCTCTTTATTTTTTTAGAAACGTTCTCACTCTATATCCTTGAACTAAAACTCCTGCATCAGCAGCCCATTCTCTAGGACTCTATGGATTAAAGGTGTGAGCTACCATACCCAGCTAAGCAGGAACTCAGGAAACCTTGTTGTGTAGTTTTGATTGTGGATACTTGTCATAGAGTTAATTCAATCTTCCATCCATTTAGAATACTGCTATTTACAGGAGCTCACCTACAGCAAGCATTAGTAAAAGCAACATGGGAGGAAGTGGGCGTGGTCTTTAGAGAGTATATAAGGACACACCAGGGTCCAGCCAGGTCCATTCTTCTCTAGACCAGACAGAGTGAGTCTCCATATATTCTGGCTCTTAGACTGCTAGATCTATCTCCTCCACATACTGAGGATCATACCCCAGAGCTGAACTAATATTGCTGTGTCTCCACAAAACACTGCTGAGGTTGGAGACTATTTCTTGGGTGAGTGCACAATTTAAGATTGAAAGTCATTGTCGTTTTCTATTTGAATTTATTATGAAACTGAGGTTTTTGCTTAAAAATGTTTAAAATTTGGTTATTTTCAAAAGAGCTTTTGCTCCCATAAGGTCATCTTGCTTTGTATATATACTGTGAGTTACAGCTATAGATAATTTTAGTTTATTCATTCACAGTCTTTCTTTGCTCTGATATTCCGCTTTTCAATTTTGATCTTTCTCTAAATTTTGAGAATATTTATAGAGTATTTCTTTATGTAGTTCACAGATGTGAGATCAACACTTCTAAAATAATTTTACAAGTATAATATATAAAAATAATTGCTCTGAACAGATTGATAATTACTAGTATTTAGATATACATTCTATGAATATTATGTATAAAAGTGAAAACTCATTATTTAGCAAAGGAAAATATTTTAGTGTTTTCCTGTTGTTGTAAACTACAGGAAAACATCACAATGTGAAATAACGCTTGATAATAATTTACCATGTTCGAAAAACTGGCTCTACCTGCTATTGGTTGATTTGCTACGTTGGAAGTATACATGTGATTAAATCAGAGAAAACTAATCACAATATTGTATTCAGGAAAGTAGATACTAATTATAATCTGGTGCAATTTTTTAATTCTGCATTCAGTTTTCATTATTTCTGTAAATTCATAAATTATTTTGGAAAGAAGTATCTAATGTACAGGAAAAAAATACTAAATGGGGACATCAGGTAAGTTAAGGAAGGCAGCATTTGAGTCTCCATCTCTTTGCTAAAATAATCTTGACAATGAGTATTAGTATTGTTTTGGAGGTAAATAGGACCACCAGCTAAAGCCATGGAGTCCATTTGCTTCAGACCACAAAAGCTAAAGTTATTTGAGGGATGTTTATCTCAGTCAATCCAAGATTATTTTTTTGTGTAGACCTTCAAAGAGAAGGAACAATGGGCCCCTGTTGATTAAATAGGAAATTCTGCTATAGTCATGAGAGCCTCATTTATGCCTCAAGGTTCATCCCATAAACTGAAGCCAGGAACTGTATCTTTGATAAACAAGTTTCCACAGAGAGTACCCTAGAATTGAACTTGATGGGATTTAGGATAGATATGGAAACCTCTGGGGATGTCTGTGAAGGATTATTGAGGGGTAGATTCACTATAGCTGGTAAGATCCACACTAAATGCTCATGAGATCACTTGACCATTCCATGGTTTGAGGTCTCAAACTAAGGAAAAGGGAACAAGAACTGAGCAGCAAGTGTTCCTTGCTTTCTTCTTGCTGATTTTTGGATGCAATGAGACCAGCTCCCTCAAGGTCCTGCCACCATTTCTTCCCCACAATGATGGACATATCCTTGAATTATGACCCCCCTAATTCTAATTCTTGTTAACTGTTTGCATCAGAAAGAAGACAAGTAACTAATTTTGCCTTCAGGTGTCAAGGGGCGTGATAATAGGATGTGAAGGACTAAGATGCTAAAATCAGAAATTAAGCTAAGCATTTACTAGGGACCATGTGAAAAAGGGAGTGTTTTCTTGGATAGCCAACAAAGAAGAGTGTGTTTAACCTACCTATGTCTGTAGTGAAAGGCCAACATGTAGACTTGAAGGAGTTTGATCACTCTAGTGTATATTTATTTATAAACACTTGGAAAGCATGTCTCAGACCAGCAACCAAGACACTGACTAATTTGAAGGGAGTCTCCAAAAAAGATGCAGGTGGAATGGCTCAGAAGGACATCAGATTAATCTATATTTCTGTCAAGAAGAGTGAAAGAGGAAAGATCAGCAACTGCAATCCTATACTTATCTTGATATTTTGTTCCTGGAAAATGAAGCCTGCTTTGCCATAAACAGAATTAAATCACAACTTGCATCAGTTTTTGTGCTGTTTCTGGCTTCTCTGGGATTGAATAACAGCAATTCTACTTTTCTTCCTTCAGAAAAATGGAGTCAGACATCTCACAAGCCTTCCAGAAAGAACTCACCTGCTTCATCTGCCTGAGCTGCCTGACAGACCCAGTCACCATAACCTGTGGCCACAGCTTCTGTCGAGCCTGCCTCCACCTTTCCTGGGAAGACATCCAACCTCCTGTCCAATGCCCTAAGTGTAAGGAACCATTACAGAAGAAGGACTTGAGAACCAACATTGTTTTGAAGAAGCTGGTGTCCATTGTCAGACAAGCCAGCCTCATGAAGGACCTGAGCTCTGAGGAGCAAAAGTGTGTGACCCACGAGGATACTAAGAGGATCTTCTGTGCTGAGAACAGGATCTTTCTCTGTCCACTCTGCTCAAACTCCCATGAGCACAGAGGACACAGACACTGTCCCATTGAAGCAGCTGCTGAGGATCAAATGGTAAGTGATGCTTCTGAGAGAACTTGCAAGCTGCAGAGAGGTAGGCTTAGAAAACCACAGGAAGATGCTGGTCCTCATTATGACAAAGGCACTGTTTTCAGAATGGTGGTACTTTATTAACATCTACTGAAGAAAGGGTGACTAGGATTGTAAACATCCTTTAGGGTACCCTGAGTGTAAAGATCATTTGTACTTTATGATACATTATGCCCAGGTCACTGGAAAGTGCAAATCTAACTTCTTATCTTTTAAAATGTCTATGACTGGAGACTAAATTAGGAAAAGTACATGGGAGTCAGGTATAGCCAAGCATGTAGTCAAAATTATTCATTACTATACCTGAGCAAAAGGGTAAGCTGCATTTTCTAATTCTATGTTCTATTCCAAAATTCATAGTTACAGAAAGAAAAAAATGAAGGATTTTTGATTCTGGTACTCTCACTACAATAATTGTATTAATTGCCCAAGAGTCTATCAGTTATATTTTTCAAAATTGATATTCATTGTTTTTTTTACAGGATAAACTTTTGAAGCAAATGACATCTTTATGGGAGAAGGTCCAAGAAAATCAAGAGAATTTAGAAGCAGAGAACAAAATGAGAATCCTTTGGACGGTGAGTATGAGAACCATACTTAAAATCAGCTTGATGCAGATATTTTCAAAATTTGCCATTCAAGATTTGAATATGAGGCCTAGGATATGATACTTGGAATATGTGTCCTGCTCACCTCTAATTCTGAGTGTATAATATATCTCTGCTCTCAGAAGGAATGGTCTGCCTCTGGCTGAAGTGTCTGGGACTAATGAGTGAATTGCTGATGGTTCTGCACACTGCATTAGATTTTATGACTACACCATGAATTCTAATTACTACATGCAGAGTTTCATATCTTTGTGAACATATGAATGATCAATCCTTTCTTCAGGCACCTCTGCACCTCTAATATAGGTGTAAATGCATCTTAGGGTTGGATTGCCTGTGTAATTATTAAGGAAGTTATAAATGAAACTAAGGCATTTACATTTTCTGAGGTGTGGATAGAGTCAATCAGTATATGCATCAGAGTTATACAAGTCATGTGGAATTTAAGCATAAGAGGATGGAATGAGGGAGGACAAAATATTTTGCAAAGATGATTGGGAATGTCCCTTTTTCTTCAGGACTACCTGACTTTTCGGGAAGAAATGATCAGGACAGAGTATAGGAAACTGCATCCATTCCTCTGTGAAGAGGAAGAGAAACACATTGAGTCTATGAGAAACGAAGGCCAATGTGTTTTAGAGAAACTCAGGACACGTGAAGCCATGATGGTCCAAAAGAGCAAAGAACTAAGAGAAATGTATCAGGAGCTGCTGGCAATGTCCCAGGAGCCATATGTGGTCCTGCTGCAGGTGAGCATGGAGGAGTGCAGGAAGAGGCTTTATTGTCTGAGGCCCACAGTGGTGATTGGTATATTAGGTAGCTTTCAACATTTGCTGCATTTTTTTTTAGGGAGTTTCCTTTTCAGAAATTTTCTGGAGAAACAAAATTCTGTAATAATCTTGAAAGAAGAAGCTTTTTGAAATTATGTCCATAGATTCTCCCAGGATTATGTCCTAACTTTTGGCTTTTGTGCCTTGCTTTTCTGATAACTGAAATTCAGTGATTTCTGATTCCAACATTCTTTACATCTATTTATATATTGTGCACAATATTAAAGTAATCTATGGCTTAGTTTCTTCTGTTTGAGTGCTGTGTTTTGAGAGTCCTTTAGGAGGTTGGCATTTTGAGACATGATCCTATTTGGTAGTACATGATACCTTGCAACTCACAGTAATGCTCAGGCCTCTAACCCTGCAATTCTGAAATACACATGTGAAGCACCATGCAGGGGTGTGGCTACCTTTTTGAAGTATCCTTAGCTAAAGTATCCCTATGGCTTGTAGACATTTGGGGGTTCAAAAGCAATGTACAGTCGATACCCTATTCCTTCTCAAATTTTACTCTTTAGTCTGATTTCATCAAGAATTCGAGTTCTGCTAATCTATGTGGTTGGCATCATCTTAAGACATGAATATAATTTACCAGGATAGATTGGTGTGATCGTGACTGACATTTATATGTACTTTAGAAACAAACATTGTATTTCATTTCTTCAGATATCTAAGCTTTTTTTGTTTTCTTTGCAGGGTTTGGACGATATGTTCAGAAGGTGAGTTTAGCCATCAGTGCAAGTCCGGATACCCAAAAATATGCTATAAAATTGTCCAAGTTGCCTTAGGAGTTGCAGATATCTTTTACATAGAAAATACTCAATTGTTTTTGTGTGATATATTTGGGATTCTTTTATTTGTTTTGTTATTTTTATGTGTGTGTGAATGTGTGTGCATGTACATGCACATGTGTGCAGTTCAGAGGACTACTTTCAGGAGACAGTCTTCTTCTTCCATCAAGGCTCCAAGGATTGAACTCAAGTTGTCAGGCTTGTATCACCTGAGGTGTTTGGCTGAACTTGGAATGAAGTTTTTCCTAATCACTGTGTGATATATTTAGCACCACACAGATCAATATTTTCTTTTCCTTGCAGGAGTGAGTCAATGCAGCTGAGCATGCCGCAGGCTATTCAGCCAGAACTCAATGCCCTACCCATCACTGGACTGACTGAAAGTTACAACCAGTTCCAAGGTGAGTGTCTTCACTGATAAGATGATGAGAAGTACCCTCCAGTATTGAGATATCCTTTGCAAACACAAATATTTAACTCCCCAGAAATATGTCTAGGTAAATCACATTCTATTATTAATGAATCACAAACAAACCAACAAACAGAAATATCATGTTGTAGGTAATAGTGCCTGAAAAGAGACTATCATTTGTTCATTGAGTAGAATGGTTATTTCACTCTGGACAGTATAATTCAAAGGAAGTGTAGCCAGTGATGGAGATATTTGATTATTTTCTTTTCAATGTGTTAGAAATTAATTTCTTACATTGCATTTTACTCCATAAATTAAAAAATACACAAGATAAAGAAGTGCACACTAGTAATCCCAGCATCAAAAACCTAGTGTGTGGAGGACTGCCAATGAGTTTGAGGACAGTCTGGTCAACACATTGAGTTCTATGCCAGTCTAGACAACTAGAAAGACCCTATTACCAAAGGAACCAAAAAAAAGCATAAAATAACTTAACAAAGCCATGTATCATGAGCAATGAAAATGAAACAAATTGATAGGACATGAGGCAGTGTCTAAATCCCCCTCATACATCTAAATGTGAATTGTAACCTCACAGAGAAAGAGTATCAGAGGATCCAGAGGATAAAGGAGGAGAGATACATTCAGGGATCTGCTTCAGAGCATATTTATATTCCCCTTGAGTATAAATATGCTCAGTTAGATGCAAATAAAAACACCAATATGAAAGTTATCACTACTTATATCTACATAAAAATAACTTTTCATGTAGATCCATGAGCACAGCCTTTGCTCTGGCCCTTGCTGCAATGCACACATCTTCCCTTAGGCAGGTGTAATTTAAAGTCTTTTCAGCATGCTACCACTCTTTTCTTGTGGAAATCCTTGACATTGTTGTATTTGAGCCAAATTTAATCTCAGGTCTTAACATTCTGTTTTTAAAATCCATGAAGATTCTATGGACCTCTCTCACCTGAGAATGTAAACTGTCATTTTACCTAAAATGTTGTTTCTTCCCACAGTGTCCATTTTCTTTGATAACGTAACCATGTTGCATTACAACATGAACCTATTTAATGCCATGAGAAGATTGAGCTTCAGACCTCACCATAAAGATACAACTACAGATTTTGTTGGATGCTATTTGGCTTCCTGGGGATCACAAAGCTTCATCTCAGGGAAATATTACTGGGAGATTGATTTGAAGGACTCTTGGGACTGGGCTGTAGGGGTCTGCAAGAATTCCTACTTAAGGAATAGAGACCAACTGATTGAATCTGAGGGTGAATTTCTTCTTGTGTGTGTGAAGGAGGGTAATCATTACAGTCTCCTCACCACATGCCCAGTATTTCAGCACTATATAGAGAAGCCACTGGGCCGAGTTGGTGTGTTCCTTGATTGTGAGGATGGATGTTTAAGTTTTGTGAATGTTGCGAAGAGTTCCCTCATATACCGGTACCCTCCTGGCACCTTCAATTACCCTATCTTCCCTTTCTTCTCCAGTGGGGAAATTGCAATCCAGCACCATATTGTTTTTTAAGTGCTCCCTACTGTAATGTTACCTCATTTATTGCTATTAAATATTAAAATACTATTAAATGAAATAATGGTCGACTATGTTATGTTTTATTCTGTGGTCCACATATTCTACAAAGAACGTTTCCTTTCATAGTGATTTTTTTCATTTTTCTTTATTACGAAATTTTCTATTCACTCTACATACCACCCACAGATGCCTGCTCATCCCTTTTTCACCCTCCAGCCTTCCCTCCCATGCTACCCCATATCCCCACATCCCTCAAATCAAGGTCTTCCAAGTTGGGGGAACAGTGCCCAGGACTCAGAGCCTAGGCAGATCCAAGCCCCTTCCCACTGCACCAAGGCTGCACAAGGCATCACACCACAGGCACCGGATTCCCAGTGTGGTCTTTAGAGACTACATGAAGGACACCTAAGAAGGAATAGAAGGAGAAAATGATGTATTTTCATTCCCACCTAGAACGTACAAGAAATAAAACAAAATAACAGGGCATCGAAGTGCAAAGCAATCAATACTATCTGAATGAAATGCTGGAGATATTGCCCGGTGGTGGAGGAGTAAGTCTTTAATCCCAGAACTTGGGAGGCAGGCAGAGGCAGGTAGATCTCTGTTAGGTCCAGTTCAGACTGTTCCACACAGTTACTTCCAGGAGAGCCAGGCTACATAGAAAAAACCAGTCTCTAATAAGAAAAATGTTGCAGGTTTTGAACTGCTTCACATCCACAGCATTTCCAGCTCTCCAGGGGGTTAACTTGAACTCTAGACAGGCTGGGACCAAGGATTCTTTGAACACTAATGTCACTGTACATTGTTGGAACTGAAATAATGGGATACATATGGAATGATTTTTTTTTTAAGGGAAGACAGGTTTATCCTTGCTAACAATTAGAGATGAAACCATTCAATATAAGGGGCTGGGGTGTGATGGAAGGTGGGAATGGCTTGAAGCTCTGTTTCCAGCAGTGTAGGACTGTTTACTAGAATCTCCATGGACCAGGTAGGATAAAGGGGGCAGGAAACAGAGATCATCTCTAAACCTCAAGCTTCCTCCATCTCCAGTGCCCTATTCCTCCAGCTAGGTCCCACCTCCTAAAGCTGCCATGTCATGTATAAAGAGCACCTCTGGATACATGCATGTGTGTTCGTATGGATATTTAGTGTCCAAACTTTGACACCATGGTAATCCAGTAAAAATCTCATCTCAAAACCCTTCATTTAATCACACCTACAAATCCTTTTTAGACCAAAGAGGACAGTCATAGGTTCCAGGGATTAGAACCTGGGAGCCATTTTTGGTATCACATGGAGCCTCTGAGGTAAATTGGATAGCAAAGGAGCCAGTCACAAAGCCGGCCACAATCTCGAGTTTCCATTGGGGCCTCCAACAGAGGGCTTCTTCAAGTCCATAGCCATAGTTGGGTCTTTTGGTGACCCCAGGAGAGCCTGGGTATACATTCAGTGCCCAATACTTAGTGGAATCAACCAGCAAACCAACAAATCACCAGCATCTACAGTGCCCTCCCAGTGGTCATGCAGCCCTGAAACACTCAGTACTTATTAATCCCCTACTGTATGTCTTTGCTGTTCTAAACAGTTGGGATCCAGCAATGTGCAAAACAAAGAGAAGTTTTCCCTCTTAGATAACAAACACTCCATTGGTATCAAGAGGCAGTCATTAAATCAAATGAGAGCAGTCATATGTTATACTGTGAGGTAACAAGGTATGGACAAAAGGGATAGCAGTGCAGAGGAAGGGCAAGTGTGCTTTTTATGGGGTAGGATAGGTGAGGGTATTAAAAGGACTATTCACAGAAGCTGTGCATGGTGCTTCTTACCTTCAATCCCAACAGTCAGGTGTAGCTTAAGTTTTCCTGCCTGGCCCATAGTCGGGACAAATCTCTATCACCTGCCAGTCCCACAGCCCATCAGACCCAACCAAGTAAACACAGAGACTTATATTGGTTACAAACTGTATGGCCGTGGCAGGCTTCTTGCTAACTGTTCTTATAGCTTAAATTAATCCATTTCCATTAATCTATACCTTGCCACATGGCTCGTGGCTTACCGGCATCTTCACATGCTGTTTGTCATGCTGGCGGCTGGCAGTGTCTCTCTGACTCAGCCTTCCCCTTCCCAGCTTTATTCTCCTCCTTGTCCTGCCTATACTCCCTGCCTAGCCAATGGCCAATCAGTGTTTTATTTATTGACTAATCAGCAACACATTTGCCATATAGAACATTCCATAGCAGTCAGGAGGCTAGAGGCAGGAGATCTGTGAGTTCAAGGCTAGCCTGGTCTGCATAATGACTTCCAGGCCAGGCAGCTACAGAGAGAGACAGAAACAGTGGCAGACTGGGACAGAGAGAGATAAAGAGATATAGAGACTCAGAGACAGAGAGACCAGAGTGAGTTCTGAAGAAATAAAAAGGCTATCATCATAGGTCACCTCAGCTTGTCTTGAAGCTGAAATCTAAGAGATCTTTTGCTGGGATGTCATATGTGCTTGAATTCGGAGAGAAGATGGATGCTGAACTAGACATTTGTCTAAAAAAGATAATGGGATGTGCCTGTCTAGTTGCCTTCTAAACATTTGTGTTTCCACCTGTGGGTTATTGTTGCTGTCCTCTTCATCAAAAGGGAAAATTTTCTTTTCAGCTGTAAGTAGTTTTGATGTTAACTTATAACCAGTTCAGCTGCTGAGAATAAGTGTGTTGCTCTGAAATGGTGTCCCTATGCTTAGTCTTAAACAAAAGAAAATATCAAATGCATATATACCCTCCCCGAAACTTAGGGAATATCATTATTTTGTTTTATTAAGAACAGAAAGTTGAGTGGGTAGGGAAAGGGGATGTATTTGGAAGGAGTTGCAGTAGAGGTAAATCTGATAAAAATAATCTGTAAAATTCTTGAAGGACAAATGAGACCTTTTTAATGTTGATATTTGATAAAATCACAGATTGATACCATTATCTGTGAAATTATAAAAGGAAAAGTAAAAATATAAGCATACCACAAAATATTTAGAAACAAGAAAATATGGTTTTAAAATTAGAATTTTAGAACTTTTTCTTTTTTAGACAAGTTCTTACTGTATATGCTAGGCATGACTTGAACTAAATCTCCTGCTTCAGCAGCCTTATCTATAGGACTCTAGGATTAAAGGTGTGAGCTACCACACCCAGCTAATCTGTGACTTAAGGAATCTATTTGTGGAGATTTGAATGTGGATACTGGCCATAGAGTTAATTCAATCTTCCATTCCATTTAGAATACTGCTATTTACAGGAACTCACCTACAGCAAGCATTAGTAAAAACAATACCAAGACCTCCCACCAGACCCTGCAGTCTACATTCCCTGTCCCCATATCCATCCTCCTGAGATCCTAGCCACTTCCTGTAGCACAGAAACCAAATCACCTGCTTGCATTAGACCAAGAGCTCGCATTGGACCAAGAACTTGAATTGGACCAAGAGAGGAGGAGATGGGCAGACGTCAATGCAAAAATACATACAACAACATAAAGAACAATAGGGAATCACTGGAACATAGCCCTCCTTCAACAGCAAGACCTGAACATCACAATATAGACGAAGCAGAAGTGACCTTAAGAATAGCATCACAACCAGGCGGTGGTGGGGCACGCCTTTAATCCCAGTGCTGGGGAGGCAGAGACAGGCACATCTTTGTGAATTCGAGGCCAGCCTGGTTTATAGATTGAGATTCAGGAAAGGCACAAAGCTACACAGAGAAACCCTGTATGGAAAAACCAAAAAAAAAAAAAAAGAAGGAAAAAAAAAAAGAATAACATCTTGATGATAGAGGCATTTCAAAAAAAATGAAAAATGAAATTGAGGAAAAGACAAACAAAAAATTGGAAGAAATCAATAAAGCCATTCAAGAGAGTCAAAATAACAACAAAAAACATAAAAAAGCAATTAAACATTTGAGGGAAACAGCTCAAGACCTGAAAAGGGAAATAGAAACAATGAAGAAAACACAAACAGAGGGAATGATGGAAATAGAAGATCTGAGTAAATAAACAGGAAACACCAATGCAAGCATAACCAACAGAATGCGAGAGATGGAAGAGAGAATCTCTGGTGTAGAGGATACTATAGAGGAAATAGATTCGTAAGTCAAAGAAAATACCCAAACCAAAAAAGTCATAACACAAAACATCCAGGAAATCGGGGATACAATGAAAAGGTCAAACCTAAGAATAATAGGGATAGAGCAAGGCGAAGAATAACAACTCAAAGGCACAGAAAATATATTCAACAAGATCAGAGAAGAAAACTTTCCCAACTTAAAGAAAAAAATATCAGCCAGGGCCTTTAATCCCAGCACTTGGGAGGCACAGCCAGGTAGATCTCTGTGAGTTCAAGACCAGCCTGGGCTACAGAGTGAGTTCCATGAAAGGCCCAAAGCTACACAGAGAAATCCTGTCTCGAAAAACCAAAAAAAGAGAGAAAGAAATGAAAAGAAAAATATCTATGAAAATACAAGAAGCCTATAGAACATCAAACAAACTAGACTGTAGCTGGAGAATTTTTCTCCAGCTCCCACCACCAAGTCCCGCCAGTCCCAGAGCCCACTTATAAAACAAACACACAGACTCTTACATTATTTAAACTGCTTGGCCATTAGCTCAGGCCTATCATTATCTAGCTCTCACTCTTATATTCAGCCCATTTCTATTAATCTTTACTTTGCCACATGGCTCATGGCTTACCTGTACTTTACATCTTCCTTGTCTTGGCGGTGGCTCCAGCCGGTCTCTCCTCCCTTCCTCCTTCCTCAATTCTCCTCTCTCCTTGTCCCGCCTATACTTCCTGCCTGATCATTAGCCAATCAGTGCTTTATTTATATCGAGCGATATCCACAGCACTAGACCCTCAAAAAAGTCCCCTCACCACGTAATAATTAAATAACTAAACCTACAGACTAAAGAAAGAATTTTAAGAGCAGCAAAGGAAAAAGGCCAAGTGACTTATAAAG